AGAGTGGCTACGTGGGAGAGGAAGCAGCAAGTTGGGGCAGCATCCTGATGCCAACTCAGTAGCTATCTCATCTTGTTACCGCCAGATATTCTTCCTTTTGCCAAACTGGGGGCCTGGGTGAGGGGCTTGGTGAGAGGCCTGGGTGACATTTTAGTTAGCACTAGTATTCTGTATGATAAGATACTGTCTCCCCATTCCTCTAAGGGAAGGTGATTTTGCATGAAATGATCTTTAGTTTCCCTTGTGCCTTCTGAACTGTGAAACACTTCCTTTTTGTGAAACTTCTAATGCACCCATCTACAGGCTAGCTGGGGTGTTGGTGAGTCATGAATGATTTAATAAAGTCAGGTTTCTAAACTTACTTGAATAATGTTTGTAACAATTTAAAGATAATATTCTTCTTTTACCCTTACTTATATAGGGAAAATAACATCAATTAATAAATAAAAGTGTAGTTTAGCAATACCTGTTTGTGATTAGTTCTATTCTGACATATTCTAATCCCCAAATAAACTTTTGCTCTAATCTTTGAGCTGTAAAGAGAAAGCAATAATACTCAAGCTATAACCCAGAAGCTATAACTCCACTAGACTTCAGCATTTCAGACAACACCGTAAAGGGTGTAGTTAGTCAGAGTCCAAAGTATTTCTCTTGGGAGATTATTTCTCAAGTATACTGGATTACACATCAATTGTGAATAAAACTACAAACACTTAAATCATAGCAAGTAGTCTTTGTGACCATAATGCCATAAATCTAGAAATCAAATTTTAAGAAAACCTATAAATTCATGGCAACTAGACAACGTGCTGCTTAATAGAATTGGACTGAAAGGAAATTAAAGTAGAAACTTAAAACATCTTGAGAATAATAGAAATGAGGTACAAGTTATCAGAATGTAAAAAACAAACAAAATATGTCATAAGAGGAAACATAAGTGCAATACAGCCCACCTTATGACACAAGAAAAATTGTGAACAACCTAGTATTAAACTTAAACCATTTTGAAAAAGACCAGCAAAGACCAAAAGTTGGTAGAAGGAAGAAAAAAATAAAAATAAGAGAATAAATAAATGACCAATAAGAATGTATTGGGGTTTCTTATAATATCATCCAAAAAGATAAAACTGTGAGGTTTTTTTTTTTTTAGAAGATGAATAAGGCTAGTAAAAGAAAGAGTATATCAATAAACAAGTAGAAATGAAAGAGAAGAACTGATTATCTATAGCATGGAAATATGAAGTGCTGTGAGAGATTACTGTCAGCAACATTACATCCATATAGTAGTTTAACATGACTAAACCAGGAAGAATTGAGTAAACTAATCACAATCACAACCATAGAACTTGAAACAGCAATGAAAAATCTCGCCCAAACCAAAAATCTTGGTCCAGATGGTGTTACAAATTCTATCAAAATTTTAATGTGGAAAGGATACCTGTCTTCGTCAGTTATTACTAAGCATCCAAGAGGAGGAAATGTTCCCTAACACAGGCATTGCCCTGTACAAAAGTCAGACAAAGGGAACAAAAGAAAACTACAGCCTGATTAATTCGGACACAGAATCTTCAACAAAATACTAACAAATCTGAATTCAACTATGCTTTACAATAATTATGAGCCATGATTGAGAGATCTATCCCAGAGATTCAAGGATGGTTTAATATACATAAACCAATCAATCTAATATATTGAACTTCAATGTAATATATTGAGCTAATCAAAGAAAAGATAAAAAATTATGAGATAACAGTGATGGATGCAAAGGAAGCATTTGACAAGTATCAGCACCCACTTGTGATAAAAATATATAACTCAATAATATCTATTGCAGAAGTGTTTATAGTAGCTGGAACATGGAAACAACCTAGGTGCCCATTGATAGAGTTTTCGGTTTAGCAGATATGACAGAGACACACAATGGAATACTACTTAGTCATAAGGAAAGATGAAATTTTGTCTTACAGAAAATGAAAGTTTAAGAAAGTTGTGAGCAGTAAAGTGAGTCAGTATAATAAATATTTAATGTTTACATAGAGGATAATTCAGCAAAGAAAAGGAATTATGTAGTAGGCACTAAGGGAAAAAAAGTGAGACTTTTGAAGATTATTTTGAAGTTAGGCTAAGAGGAAGGTTGGAAGGAGGAAGGGTCAGAGTTGTATAAGGGATAGTGGTTGGAAAAAAATGAAAGCTACAAGGAAAAAAGAGAGCATCATCTCATTCACTGACATTGTTATCATGACTTCCTTGCTGTTCTGTGAAACTAAATCTGTTTTAAAAAGATCAAACATGAATTATGAAGAGTATCAAGAAACAAATGTCTGTCTTCAAAAGTCACTGCAAAAATTCACACAAGATGTAATTAACATTTTTGCCAGAAGAGTAACACAAATAGCTAAAGTCTTTCAACTGACCCCACTTGTCAAGTTAATAAAATATGATGGGAGAAAATGAAGCTCTTCAAGTTACTTTTCCAAGTATAACTATACTTCAGAAAGCAATCACATCCTAGTGTGGGGCAGTCTTCTTTCTGATGACAGTCCTGTGTGAGACAAACATAAAGGGAATGTCAACCTCTCATTTTAGAAGGGCAGGAGGTAGAGTTGCCACTTAACCACGTGGGCTGTTCCTGTGTGCACAAGCATGTTCACATGCTTATGTGTGTGGTGTTCGACATTTCCCTTCAGACTTCTTTTAGTCAGTTAAAATGAACAAGACACGTTTCTATTGAAAACTTTGCTTAAATGTATTCTTTATTTTTAGTCATCAAAAACAGTGTAATTATGATGCTTTTGAATGTTAAGTCCAGTTTCAACTGGAGCCAAACCTAGGTAGAGTGATAACATTGACATCACATATCTTCAAGTCAAAACTGTTTTGGGGGCATGTGGGGATGAGGAGATGAACCTAAGTCTGATTATTCTTGTCCAAGATAGGACTTCCCAGAGACGTTCATACTAAAAGAAGTCTCTGGGTGAAAGAAAGAATTAACAGCTCATCTTTTCCATTTCACTTGACTGGCACATCTGTCAGAGTTTTTTTATGATCCAGCTGACCCTACTTGACAGAAAGCCCAGATGTATTTCCAGGATCTGATGAAGGGCTGTTATTTTGCACTTTGATGTTGGGAGAAACATTAAGTTTAATATTGTGGGTTAAACAGGACAGAAGCACGTGTCGGATGAGGCTGTGATTTTTTGTTCTGTCACCAAGGTTGATCTGATTACTTGCCTTTCAGATATGAAAGAAAAAGTTCAACATGATTTTAAACTTTTCATAGTTTTCCTGTTACTCAGACCCTGCAGAATGAGAAACTACTACAGTATTGTTCAAGATTATTGTCATTTAACAATTTCTGCAAAAATAGCAAAAAGTCCAATGTCTCTGTTTGCATTGATGTGGTCAATCCGTGGGATTTTAATCTCACAGATATTTGGTGCTATGCAATATTTTTCAGACTAATTAGAGTGAGTTTAGGTTAGAGCTGGTATGCATAGTTATCAGTATTGAAATTTCTAGTGAGAACTAGGTAGGCTTTTTTAGAGAAGTAGAAGATAGAACAAAATAAGTTTACAGTGATGGCACTGAGACCTCATCCCTACTCAGTCAGGGAAGCTCAAGGCTTTTTAATGCACATTAAAGAGTGTATTCTACATTCATGCATTGAGAACACAATGCAGTTAAGATTTTAACCTGAGTGACTGGGACTTCAGAGGCTCCTGGGTGTGTGTGCCTCACCCAGTGATAAGTGTGGGTAACTAGAATGTAGAATGACATCTACTTGTCATTCTACCAAGAACAAAACTCTTGTCTACCTTGCACTCATTTAAGCTATTGGAATATATGTTCAGAAAAGAATATTTTATTTCTCTAACAAATTTTTGGAATGATCTATATGCATGACCTTTTAGAAGTTGTTCTGGAAATTGCTATTTACATATCTGATTTTTCACTCAGTTAAAACTTGAACACTTAAATGATAATACTATAGTGTCACTTTATATCTACATACTAAAGCATCATGTGAAAAAGCATTGCTTTTTTTTGTTGTTGCTGTTTTAACAGGGAGATATATTTAAAAACTCTAAAGAAGACAAAATATAACCTCTTATATTTAATTAGATATTTTACATGGGTTTTGCTATTTCCTTATTCCTGAAGTTCCATGTCTTCTTCTGATAATCCCCTTCAGTCTGTAGAGCCAATTTTTTTTTTTTTTTTGCACATGCAGACCTCTTTTAAAAGTTGTTTTGAGTTGACATGTAGACAATATTCTATCCAAAAGTTATGAGTTTGTTGTAGGTAGTCTTATGTTGAGTTCAGTGTTAACATTTTTAAACTTTGAGAATATCATTCAAACTCTTATTAATGCATGCAAAGTTCTCATCAGAGTCATGCTCTTTGATTTGTTGATTACATAAATTTTGTAAAAACAGAACTAAAATTGTGCTGTTTGTTTTTGGAAAAGATGATGTGCTTCCTAGGCTTCACTGGTGTCACAATGGGTTTAGCATAGCATTGTGAAGCTAACCATAGCTGCTTCAGCTTGAGTTCAATCCCCACCCTGGAGGTGACCCACATGGCACAGCAGACCTCTCCTAGTTTGCCTGCTGCTCTCCTCAGGAGTATGTTTCAGTAGAACTGCCTGTCCTTATCCCATTCTGTCTCAGATGGAGAGGCCCCTGCACCTATGTCCTGTACCCAAGTTTTGTGTCATAAATAAACAAATCTTAGAAAAAAAAAAAAAAAGATGATGTGCTTCCTAAGGAGGGAAATTAGAAATTTGACTTTGTTTTGGGAAAGATTCAAATGATTAATGAATAATATTACTATATTATTAGAAGACCACAATTATTTGACAATGCTTATTTTTTAAATAAAAATGAAAAGACTAGTAACAAATGTTAAGAGTTCTTACTGGAAGGAAATAAGACACTATTATAGCATGATCAACATTTTCTAAATTAACTAGAAACCTTTGTGAAAATCATAGAACTCACCTCCTTTAACAAAAACTGTTGTGTCTGTTCTTGCTTTCACCTGCTCGGAAGGGGCCTGAGTAGTAAGCATACAGCACAATGCATCCAAACTTCACTGGGTTTCAGATGGCGATCTTGACATTTCTTCTGAACTTAGTTTGTTAAATAAACTTCAGTATTGTATTTTGCCTTCTAGTGCAATTCAGATTTCCAGTTCTTCTGGGTGGCAGCAGCTCTGGGTGGTTGGTTAGGCTTGCGGGTGGAGAGAGGTGAGTGTAACAAGGCAATAAGGTACATAGTGTATTGAGCCACAGGTGCAAATAACATAAGATTCTAGCAGACATGATACGATGGAGGATTTAGCTGCTGAGTGCTGCTGAAACATCCCATTAAAAGTTACAGTTTGAATGATCTCATCCATTATTGTAATGGGCCAAATTATTAGATAGGTGGTTTTCTTTTTATTGCTGGGCTAGTTTCACATGATGTGTGGGATATTAATATTGTATTCACATTTCAGTAGATTCAGAGAAGGAAGAAAATGAAGAAATAACTAGCTCTGAGGATAACTGACCTAATCCTGGGTTATAGTCACATATAGCTTTACCTGGAATTCCACTGAGCAATGTGCCAAAGAATGACTTATATACGGGAAGCAGAACAATTGAACAAATGCTGCAATGTAGCTCAAGGCTTAAATTAAATCTGGATGGAGGCAAGATTGACGGCAGCAATTAGAGCTGCACAAAGTGCCTATCTGTAGTGGGTCAGGAGAGTTGGGAATTAGAGAATTCTAAAGTGGTCTGTGCAAGACAAGTACAGGAAGCCCAAAGCAGAAAAATAAAGCTTCTGTCAAAGACGGCATGGGAATACCAGAAATGAGGCTTTAGGATTGCCAGATATAATACATAAGAAAAGAAAAAAGCCACACCCTCTTTGAATTTCAGAGGAATGGTAAATAATATTTTAGTGAAAATTTCCTAAATAATGCTTACAGTATTATTTATGATTAATTATCATTAATTATGCATTGTGTATCTGAAATTCAAAATTAACTATGAAATCTACTTCATATCTGGCAGTTCTCCCAGCTGCAACCTACTTTCTTATGAATGAATAATTTTGGATTTCAGTAATCTAATATGGGCTGAATGTCTTGAAATTTTCATACTATCTTCGTAAAGGGTAACTCTGATGATGCTGGGTTGGAGTGAACATGAAACAGATTACATAGGTCTTATACCTCAAGAACACCCAAGAGAAAGGGAAAAAAGCCATTATCTAGAGAGCATGGAGTCTTTCTGTTTAACCTTGAGCTACACTCCAAGACTGCTTGGTGTTGGGAGATACAAATGCCGAGGAGAAGGGCTACCTAGGGATGACAGGTTTTCAATACAAATTCAAACCCCTGTTAGCTGAAGAAATGCTTCTTCATAACTCTTCATGTGTGAACTGCCCTTTAACTAGTCAGTGAACTTCAATCAAGTCTACATTTCTTTGGAATTAACCCACTGTGTTGCCAATAAAATGTAACTCCTTTATTCTGAGTCTTGGTAGCCCAAACCTGCCAAACCTCATTTCCTTTCTCAGGTGTGGACATAGATTAAGTTTTCCTTTTGCCTCTTTGCCAACTGATAAACAGTCAATATTTTTATCCTTTGTCTCAAACCCTGATGTCATAAATTGTTCTCATGCACCTGGTAGTGAGCCCTTAGCTGCCAGAACATCAGTGCAGTGACAGATTCAGTCCTTATATCTGTACCAATGAACCTGAGTTAGCTGTCTCTGTTTTGTGAAAGCATTTCTAAATAATGACATGGATTTCCTTTAGATCATCTCTTCATTGCATTTTGCCAAATAGTATAATGGAAAAGCCACAGCTACAAAACATATAATTTGTTGGAAACATGTTCCAATTTTTGAAAATTTTGAAATTTTGACAATTTGGAATGCCTTGTTTTGTTCTATAAATTAGAACTCTTTGAGATTGAAGACAGCATCTCCAAATGTCAGGAATCTTGGCTTCCTACAGCCTGTATGAAACTCTCTCCAGTGTTTTCTAAGCTTACTTTACTTCATTGTACAGAATGCATGAATCTATAGACAAGTGTGAAGTAATTTTTCACATCTTGACCATGAGGCAGAATATACTATTTATTAATAAAGTAATGGTTTCTGATGAGTACATGAAAGTAAAAATAGAACATTTGAGTGCTCTTCCTGATGGTGCAGAGGGTTAAGGCACAGCATTATGAAGCAATCCACAGTCACGGCAATATGAGTTCGATCCCTGGCCAGGGAGGTGACCCACATGGTGTGGCAGACCTCTCCTGACCTGCCTGCAGGTCCCATCAGCAGTATATTTCAGTCCATTTGCCTGTTCTGTTCACCACTCTGCTCTGGTGAACTCTCTCACCGCCCTCCACCTCCCATCCCACACACTTCTGGTCTGTACCCAGTTCTTGTATGTATAAATAAATAAATCCAAAAGATATAGAAACTCTGAGAGCTGCATTTTCACCAAATTGGGCTCAGATAAAAAATATATTTTAAAAATAATATTTCTTAAAAAATGAAATTTTATTGATTTGGTGAAAAACTTGAAAGAGTGGTGTGACGCAAAGTTTAAGTTGTAGACAGTAGTTCTCTATCCCCAACTTGTCATGCAGCATAAACTCAGGAAAGCCTTGGTCCAGGTGTGTATACATTTTCCTCGTGCACCTGAACCACAGTTGTCAGAGAAAGTGAAAAATTAGTTTATACCATTCCTAGGATGTGACACAGAGCCACATTCACCACCCACCCACTCTAAGTTCCTGATTGAAGGGACGCAAATTCTCCCAGGTGGCTCAGTTTCTGCTTATTGACAATGATATCACTTATCAGCTTGGGCTGTAATAAGCTGCCTTATTGACTACTGCCCTGTCACTCATGCAGAGAGCTCCCTGTCACAGGCGCTGCTGTTTTGCATCACCCTGCCTTTGCTTTATTGGCTTATTGATAGTTCTGTCCATCTTCCTCAAAGGGGTTGACAGACTGACATTTGACTCTTCTGTCTTCCAGTGATTTTACAGACTTCAGGTGACTGGCTGTAGTTTTGCCCAAATGGCAGTATGCAAACCTCTCTTCCCTACACAGCTGAGGGATGCTAAAATCTGTTATTGCAAAGTATAGAATTGCTGACATATCTTTGTCTGCAAGTGTTAAGGTGCAAGACAGGACTAATATTTAGAATAGCAACCAGACATAACACTTCAGACTTTTTTCCAGGTGCTCCCTGCAAGAAATCTCTACTGCTTTCACAGAGCCATTTCCCACCCACCAGGTATCCAAGCAGAACCAAAGAGCCTCAGGGATGTGAATTTAATCTCCTCCCACCTTTTCAACATCAAACAAGGTTAGGGAAATGCCCACAGAATACTTTGATACTGGCAGAAAGAAAGAAAAAAAATGTATGTATTAATTCCTAACACAAAGCTCATTGCTTTTCAAAGACAGAATAATAAGCACTTGTTATTTCTTTTTTAATTTAAGATCATTGTTTATGCCTCTGGCATGTGGGAATCATTTGACTTGTAAACTGAGCATGTTTGATTTGAAGCACTCTAAAGAATGATGCAATGAGAGTTTTCATGGGAAAATACAACATAAATGGGAAAGCTTTTAGGGGTCCACACTGTTAGATATCATTAGACATGCATTTTCCTCCCATACTTATTTGATGTTATACTGAAAACTAGTAAAAAAGGGTTTCCTTAATAGGTCTCTTTAGAAATTTGGGTACACCTTGCTTGAGCATCACAATAGCTCTCAAAACATTCTCTATTAAAACTCTGCAAATGACTCAGGAAAAAAAAAAAAAGAAAGTTTTAAAAATTAGAATAGGAGTTTCCATTTATTACATAACGATGATGAGGAGAAGATGTGGTTGTAAGATGATTTAATTTTCCTTAAAGTTCATACTGTATTTTATATAAGGTAAATGTTAATTTCCCATTGTCACATGACAAAACTGAGGCATCTCAAAATTCGTGCAGTTGCCAAAGATGACACAGCTAGAAAATAAGCTCATCTGGGACATAATCTGACTGTCTCTCCTCGTTCAGTCAGGACGCTTTCTTCTTGCATGTCCTCAACTCTCAGTGGAACTGATGATGCACTCAATATATGTTTGGGGAAAAATCTGTGCCCCTTACTGAAGTCCCTCTGCAGCAGGCTTTGTAGCCCTTCTTCTTTGGTAAGATATCCAACAGTCACCGTTTTAACCTAGTACACAAAAGAATGGGGGGACAGTGGAATGCGCCTGTAGGGAAACACTGTTTGCTAACACCAAGTTGCTTCTTAATCGAGGTAAGTACAGGAGTCTCATTTATATTACTGAAAAATAATCAGTCCTTGAAGTGAGATGGTGTTTGGATCATTTAACATGAAGAAATAATGGGAAAAGAAGTTACTCAGCTTCATCTGAACCATGCTGAAAGGGACTTAGTTTGACCTCCAAAAAAAAAAAAAAAATATGAAGGAGTGGTGATGCTCCATTGATTTGCAAACCATAAACTTGATAAGCATTTTTACAGCAGAAACAGTACAGAGCCCGGGGTCTGCACCATCTCCATTTGTCTTCCCCATCAGGCCTGAACAGACAAGGATCAAATTAAGAATAAGCTGGAGACATTCTGTTGCCAAGAACAGTCTAATTTACTAAAATTAAATAAAGTGGAAAATTGTTCATTAATAATATTGGACAATAATTTTATTTGGGAAAAATGATCTCATTTAAAAAAAAAAAACTAAGCAATCCATCTTTTTTCTTTTTTTATAGTTATACATTTTTTTTGTTTTGTTTTTAAAAAGTATGTGTATATCCTGTGTCTAAAGTAGTATTTGCAATAAGTCATAGTGATATGAATTTAATAAGTCCTTATTGTATTTAACATAGTTTATTCTAGAATACCAACTTGAATGGTTGACTCAGTGTTTTTTATATAATCTTTAGCCTTTTTTGCATTTTGAATATTGTTATTCAGCAGTTTATCACAAACAGTATGCAAAGTTCCTTTAGAGGAAAGAAGAAACATATTGGGCCAAATGCTGCATTTTTTAGATGAAAAGAAACCATGTGGACGACATTTCCTCTTGTTAACTAGAATTTTAGGATTAAAATTAAATTATTCTATAAAAATGTTTTGATATTGCAAGGAAAGAGCCCATTTTCTGTGGATATCATTCTTCCTTCCCAAATTATCTATCACTTTGTAAATACTTTCAAACTCTGAGATTAAATTTAAAGACTACTGCTTTCTAACTCATGGGGAAATTTTATCAATACATAAGGTAATATTTTTCTTGTTTTTGTTTTCACTATTTTTACTATT